TTTTTTTTTTTTTTTTGCGCTAAAATATGGAAAAACAATTGTTGCACTAAACTCGGCTGGTCGGTCGTGGCCGAACCCGGCCGATTTGGCCGACGCTCGAGGCCGCGGCCGAGTTTTCGGTCCCGACCGTGACCGAGCGTGCAACATAGCAGAGAACTTGGATATTATGCAAACCAATGTCTGTATCCTCGCAAACAACCATCGACGTCGAGTCGGGCCAGATCAACGTCCCCGGGCCGGACGGGTCAGGGGGACAATGCGCGTGCTGCAAATTTGGAACCGCTGCATTCCAAGGTTGTGGAGATTGGAAAGAGCGTAGCAGCCGTATGTCAGTTCGTCGAGATCGAACGGGAAAACAAAGCAGCCAAGGAAAAATGGAAGGCTGACCGCAAGGAAGCTGCGGAGCGTCTGGAAAACGAGCGAAGGGAAGCGGAGTTGAAGAAGAAACGAAAGGAGAAGAAACTTCGACAGGAAGCCGAGCGAGTTGAATCTATGAAGAAGGAACTTGATATCAAGGTAGCCATGCAGGTGGGTGAGTTACAGGATGACGTGCGTGCCGATATCAAACATGAGGTATGAGACGTTATTGGGGAGCTGTGCAAAGCAGTGGCGAAGGGTAAACAAAAGCAGGTATGCCACGGGAGCAGTGACTCTGGAAGCATCGCCAATAGCAGCGAGACGGAGGAGATCAACACCAAGACACGTAACCTCAGCATTAGTGAGAAGCGTAAGCGCGCGGAAGAACCAGTGTTCGAGGACAACACTCCTATGAAATTGCCTCCAAAACGGACACCGTTGAAGATGAGCGGGCCAGGTAATCTATCGGCAAGGTTCACGCACTCCAGGACCAGAAACCAAACTAAGACGCCTACACCAAGGAAGACACCGAGTTCTATCAGGAAGAAGAAGATCCCAGCATCAATCGGAGCAGTTGGTCGTTTGAAGTTTAAGAAGCAAGTCCTACACGAGTCGAAGTGCTTGGATGCTTTGGTACTTCACAACATGTGCAAGAAAGTGGTGATTCCCTATAATGGGAAGTTTGAAGCGATTTTTGACATCGCAGCACATCGAACGCACGTCATGTATGGCACGGATGAGGAGGACGAGGTTGAGACAACGAATGAGGTGGAACCTGATGACGCGACGGTACGTGAGGATGTGCATGAAGCAGTGTGCAGAGGATTCTCTGTACGACATCTTTGGGGTATTGTTGATTGCGTTACCAGATGGAGGAAGGATATAAGTGTGGCTGATGCGAAGATCGAGGAGGTGTTAGACTAACCATAGCGAGACTGTCTATATCTGGAGCCTGACGTTGAAATCGGAAGTGTGTGGAGTCGTGGTTAAGATTGTTTGAAGAGTATGGTGCCGATTTCGTTAACTTGTCCGAATGTGTTTACGTAGCAGTATCCCTATATTGCAAGTCGCAGTACATAGGAAAACCGACGAGACATTTGGATACTCGATGGCGTGAGCACTCCTATCCTTGCCGTAATCGTAGCCTGAACCATTTTTATAGATCGCTGAGAGCTCCTTTGGTATCCAGATTTATGTCCTCGTCCCTCTGGATTCCATCCACTAAGGTGAACTCACTAAACTTGAATTGGTGTATATTAAACAATGGTCTCCATATCTGAATGTCGTAGGAGTCAAACCTAAGAGGAGTGGCGGGCGTCATAGCAAAGGCAGGAATAAGAGAACTAGGCTTTCCCGACATTCTGCAGGGTCTTGCCGAACGATCGCACCACTACGTTTCCGTCGTGAGAATAACGACGAATGGAGGCTTGATCTCTTTGAGATCCTATCCGAGTGTGATGCTAGTGGTACACGAACCTTTAATTTGACGGTTAGCGGTGGGAACGTGTGGCACTCGCCATGGAAGAAGATTACGAGGTTTTTCGGTACTTCTAAGATCAAGTGGGGTAATGGAACCCGACTCCTAGACACTGTAAAAGGGAGTTCGAAAAGGGCGGCCTTTTGACTTTTGAGTATATCAGGTCATGGAAACCTCAGTGCGACAGTTTGAAGAAGGTTTTGATCTCTTTGTTAAAAAATCCAAAGAGACTTTCTAGTTTTTACAGCTGGGGAATGCATTTAATCTTACGTGTGTACCGAGTGGCTATAAATCCCCCACGGCCGCGGTCATCGCGGGCACGACCGCGGACTGCGGTCGCGGCCGTGGGCCCGCGGTCAGGACCACAGTCCGCAGTCAAGAAAAAAAAATAAAAAAAATCAGAAAACTCTGAAAACAATATATGTTATGCCAAAAAATAAACTGAACAACTTTTGCCTTGAGGTCATATCAAAGCTCGTTACCAAATTTGAGATAAAAAACAAACAATATCCTTTATTTTTCTTACTAAAATAATAAAGTGAAGAACTTTTGCCTGAGGGATTTCTGTTTTTCATTTTTTTTTTAAATCCAAAACGAAGTTAAAAAACAAAACTAAAACTATACAGTTGTATAGCGCAAAAAAAATTACAACCCCATTTTTTTTGTTTTGTTTTTGGCCTATTATCCTAGGAATTAAAAATGTCGGGGTTTTCCGACCGCGGCCCTCGCCCGCAACCGACCTCGGCGATCGGGATCCCGACCGCGGGCCGAGATTGACCCTGCGGTCATGACCGCGGGGGATTCATAGCCGAGTGGTGAAGGATTTCTCGAAGAAGTCAACCAGAAAGTATCTTCGAAGACTACTGTCACATATTTTTCTTGACAAATTCGACCTTAGTCTAAGCAGTGACCTGTTGATCCGGGTGAAGTTTGACGATAGGGTAAAACTGGCAGAATTGCGGAAGGTGATTAAATGACATGTTAATGACGTGTGACTTACCTACTTGCTTCTTGCAGCGTGCACGAAAGAAAGCTCGCATCATTTGGAAGAAGAACCGAACAGTAGGAGAGTTGATGCACAATCACCGGATATATGCGGCCCGTGATGTGCTGAGCTGCCAATGTGCAGGCCTACCCTATCCTAGGATGGATGGGCATGTTCACTTTCGCTTGAGCAAGGAGATGGTTGATCCCCCGCTGTTAGCCAATGCTAACAATATCCCGAAGGTAGCGATTGCTGACCGGGTTAGCCTGTTGAGATCGGAAGTTCAAGAGGGTTTCGGTAGCTGGAGGAATCTTCGTGGTAAGGTACCACAGGTCGATACAGGAAGATTGTCTGATTGTATTACGCATGACAGGGAGATACAAACCTCGGCGCTCTCGATGGATATTGTGATGGAAACCAAGAAGAAGTTCGAAGGACTCGTGTTAACACCCCTGGATCGCAACCCAGGGAAAATTGTGGTTATGTGCCCAAAACTCTACTACGATGCTATGATGCAGACGTTTGTTTTCAATACAGGTTAAAAGGTAGTGGAGGCCTCCGATAACGTTGTGTTGAGAGAGATTCGTGAAGATACTGAAGCAGCTGGATTGAAACCCTTTGCCCGATGGGATAGGAAGGGCGGCATCGGATCCTCTTATGTTATACCAAAGCATAAGGATTTGACCCGATACCGCCCGATCTGTCCCACTTACGTGGAACCTATGGTTCGCACGGGTAGAGTTGTAGCTAAGGGCCTGAACTTCATCCTGTCCAAGATACCAGGTAAGTACCATTTCAACTTGTCTGCGGTATCCATGCTAAAGACAAGATTGGAAGCAATCAACGACAGGATTCAAAGTCTGAAACGACCAACAGTGGCTGCATATTCCTTTGAAATCAAGGATATGTTCAGCAGGCTGCCACATCGTGAAATCGTCAATGTACTAGAGTGGGCTTTGATATTTCATCAGGAGAAAGGACGTGATTTTGTCAGGGTAAGGGTTGTTCTTTTGGTCTGACGACTGGCGGGGATCATTGGAGAATTCTACGTTTTGAGGATATCTTGAAATTTGTGCGGATGGAATTAACCCATACATACACACACGCTATTGGTGTACTCATCAGACAGGTCGTGGGAATCCTATGGGAAAAGCCACAATTCCACCTTTAGCATGTATGATGTGTGCGTATGCGGAATAAAAATTTGTTTCGAATTTGGGAAGGTACGAACGCCAAGTTTTTGGTATTCGCCTCGTGGACGATGTGGTCTTGATTATTGCTTCGTTGGCGGAAGAATCCCTCCACTGGGTGGTGAGCAGGTTTTCTGACTGTTACCCCAAGAACTTGTGTTTGAAAAGAACCGATGATGGCTCTGGCGTGTTGGACTTTTTGGGTTGTCAAGTGAGATGTGCACAAAATTACCCTTATCTTGGCTGCATTCAGATGTCACGCAACGAGGAAAGCCTATAGTCCTTAGGCGAGTTGGAGATAAAAAATGGGCAGTCTTTCTACTCGTGGGGGAGTAAAAAACAAAAAAGTGCGGCGATCAGCAGTTATCTACACAGGATAGACCGAAACACTTCGGTATGCGGCACGATACCTAGGAGGGTCTTGTCCCTTAAACGTGAGGTGAGACTCAAGGACTTCCCTATGAAATTTTTTATGAGAAATTTGAGACGATTTGCTTTCCGGAGGGATGGCATTTGGAAGCAGACAGTCAGGTTGCTGGAATAGGTTTTGTAGCCACCTCCGTTTCCGACCTGAGGCCACGGCAAAACGTGGAATTGTCCCTATGGATCATGCTGACATATTAAGATTCTACAATCAGAGAATACTCGGAATCCTGAATTACTACTCTTTTCGTGGACAATCGATCATCATTATGGTCGATAGTTTACTTAATGAAGGAATCTTGTGCATTGACCTTAGCGCTTAAATATCGCACTAAGTAAACAACAGTTCAGTTCTCTGGTCACGCTATTTCGCGGAATTTCGCGAAATTTCGAAAGTCGAAAATTGAAATGTTTTGACTCACCTTGAACTTTGATGTCGTAGGATGGAACCGGAACGGGTATAGTTAGACAGGGTTTTTCAGTTAGACAGGATCTGTTTGTCTGCTCTGTTTGTTGGTGTTTGTGAACGTGCCTCACGCACTTTTGTTAGTATGGTGCTTTGGCTTGTAGTTGGTTTGTTTGTAGTTTAGTAGGCCTCAATCCTACTATCTGTTTTGGAGATTTTGAATAATAATGGGGCGGTAATCGGATTGAACCAGTTAGCGGCTTAGGCCTTAGCCTGTCAGTCGAAGTTTTCATAAAAGTTGTGGTCAAGGACTTGATCCGGTAACCATTTGAGTAGGAACTTTGCTACCGAGAACTAACCGGCGGTGCATTTGAGGGCCTTGACTACGGGGTACATAAGACTATAAGTACAGTCAATGCAAGTAGTTAGACCTCTTACGTTGGTTCGCTGCCCGCGGCGCGCTAGTCTTAGGAATGGCGTTAACGGTTGCGGACGTGGTTTGTGGTTCGAACGGAGGATCTTGGAATTTGTGGCTCGTGTTTGAACGTAATTTTCTGACGATTTGTACTGTACTTCGTGAGTGTCATTTCATCGCTTTGGCATGTTTGATGTGGGTTTTACTCACAACACTATCTACACAATCTTCTCTTTAAACACTACATCCTATGCAAAGCCTCAACGTCTCTTACATGTAAAATCACCACCCCTCTCCTTGGGAATATATATCCTAACATCATATTCATCAAGCTCAGTGAAACGATAAGTCAGGATCTACAATCGTTCAGTTTCCCATCCACGTTCAACAATCTAATCAGTAAGGTAAAACTTATATTTTTCCCAAAGAGTTGAGTGACTTCAGTAACCGTTCACTTCTTCCTTTCTCGGTCGATATCTTTTTTCAAATCTTAATTTCCTTTGTACAATCTCCTCAGATGTGATCCCAATTGAATGACTCGTATAAGTTGTCACATCTCCTCCTTGTTTCCAAAGTGTTAACAAGAGTAATGTGGTCGGATCCGTCACAATGCTTTTCAGGGATTGGTACGTTAGGCATAGTCTCATTCAAGCACAAACATCAAACCTCATCCCCCTCCCTTTCCGATCTCCACAAGTCCGTTTTTTTTCATTCAAACGAAAAGGTAAAAGTTTCGTCATCACTAACACTCATAGACTTCATTAACGTCTGATATTAGAAACTTCCCCTTCATAAATGATCACACTGATTGTGATGTCTCACATCTTAAGTCTAACAAACTTTGTATTTGTTGGAGAAGACTGAATGAGAAGTGAATTTTATGATATCTTTAAAACATATTTCACCAACGTTGTCACAATCACTCTCTCATGCCATCGAAGCTTCTCAATGTCATGTTTTTTTCGTTCATCGCATCTCTAATGTACTCTTATAGGGAAAATATTTCACCTATTCGTTTTTATTTTCCTCTCTTGTTGTTCACTCATCCTTTAAAAAATTAAAATGTTAAATG